TCGGCACGGCGCCGCTCTGCCGCCTGCGCCACGGGCACTGCCGGGAGCCCACCCAAACGCCTCAGGAGTCGCAGCGCACCTTGGAAGTGGCATCTTTCAGGTTGATGACCCCAGACTCGATCATCTCGTGGTACAAGTCGTTGCCCTCACGGGTTCGCTCCCCCACACCGGCAAACACCGAGTAACCGCCATGGGCTTTCGCCACGTTGTTGATCAGCTCCATGATCAGCACCGTCTTGCCAACGCCAGCACCTCCAAACAAACCTGGGAGGGAACACGAATCTCGCTCAAACCCAAGCCGATCCAGCTGCCCTTGGTCTCTCCCTTCGCCCCTTTCCTCCTCAGATCAATAAACGTTGCTTCAGTAAGCTCAGAAGAACGAAAGTCAAATGGTTACTCATCAGCGAAGGAAGCTACTGCAGAGGGATCAGTCCTGAGCCTTGGCAGGTTCAGCAGGGCTGGACGGTTGCCCCCCTCCCCCCACCAACCCCAGTTTGCCCCCCTCCCCAGACAGCCCCCATTCCTCTGGAGACAACGCACCGATCTTGCCGCCCTTGGCGTAGGGAGCCAGCAGGTCCACCACCTTGATCCCTGTCACCAGGATCTCCTGTTCAACGCTCATCTCCACGAACTCGGGGGCTTCGGCGTGGATAGCAGCAAACCTGTAGCAAGAGGCAAAGAGAGGAGCTGAGCAGCCGAACCGAGCCCCTTGGCCGGGGCGCCGGCAGGAGACCGCGCAAGCACAGTCCCTGCTCACGACTCAGAACACCGGCACAGCAGGGATGTGCTGCATTCCCGTTCACATGTGCGTATCTGCTACTCCAGAACCTGTGTCCCCACCTCCAAACCCTGCACAACGCTTGTCTCCTGACTCGGGGCGTCACTCACTGTTTTGTCGTGATGGGGCCCCTCTCATCGATGGGTTCCCCGATGACATTCATGATCCTGCCCAGAGTCTCGGGGCCGACGGGGATGCGGATGGGCGCACCGGAGTCCAGCACCTTCTGTCCTCTCACCAGGCCTTCTGTGCCATCCATGGCGATTGTGCGCACAGTGTTCTCCCCTGCCAAGGCCCAAGGACGGTGTCACAGCAGTGCCCTCAAGCTGACCCTGGGGACAGCTGCTGGTGACTTCCCCAGGCCCTGCCAAGGGAACAGGCTGCTGGGAGGAGGACCCAGAGGAGCAGCAGGACCCAGGGACAAAACAGTGCAGAGAAAAACTGAGCCCAGGCCACACTCAAACTCCAGCCCTGCAGGCCAGAGCCCTCCGGCAGCCATTTTCCTCCTCCTCAGATTGAAATCCATGGCTTCAGCAAGCTCAGGAGAACGAAAGTCATCAAGAAACATCATCACGGGAGGACCCCTCCCACCCTCTGCAGCCCTTCTGCGGCAGAGGCTCCCCCAGGTGCTGAGCCACCTCCAGCACCAGCCGGGTCTCCCTGCCCTGCACCTCAAGGGCGTTGAGGATGGGGGGCAGCCCCTCATCGAACTGCACGTCCACCACCGCACCGATGACGGCCACGATGCGGCCGGTGGTTGAGCCGGCCTTGGCGGCGGGGGCTGGCTGGGCTGCATAGTCTCGTCCTGGGGGGAAAGGAGAGGGGCAAATCAAGGTCAGCCGGGGAAGGGGCAGCTCTGGGCTCCCATGTGTCTCGGGGCTGCAGAGCTGGGGCTCCCCTGCACACCCTGGCTCCCCTGGGATACACCCAAGATCCCTGCATCCCCCCTCAGTGCACCCGGGACCCCCTGCACCCCCCTTCAGTGCACCCGGGACCCCCTGCAGCCCTTGA